AAAGCACCTTCAGTAAGGAACTGCTTGTGACCTACCTAGGTATCAGACATTTTCGTCACTATCCTATAGGTCGACACTTACAGTTTTCACTGACCACAAGCAATGAGCTAGGCAATCAATGGCGTGACAGACAAGCATTCTCTGCGGGAAACTAGACACATGGACAACGTCTCTCGGTTCAAGACAGACGTACGACATGTCTCAGGCGCTCTTAATCCGGCTGCGGACGCTCTTTCACACATCCATCAGAGCAGCTCAGCACTTGGAACTAACAACGACCTAGCCACCATGACTGCAGCCTAACGAGCTGACCCCGACGTAGACAAGCTAAGAAGCAGCACCTCTTTGAAACTACGCGAAGTTCTAGTAGCCTCAGCTGAGGGGACTATACTTTGTGACGTCTAACAAACCTATCCACCCCACCGTGGTTCCTAAGACGATACGCCAAATGGTCTTTAACGTGCTACACAATCCGTCGCATCCCGGCATACGTGCCTCGGAGATGCTCGTAACCGAACTCTTTGCCTGGTCCAACATCTACCGCGAGGACCGCACTTGGGCTGGCGCGTGCTTGGATCGTCAGCGCGCTAAGATGTAGCGGCACACCAAAAGCCCACTCGGAGTCTTTCCAGCACCTGACTCTCGTTCTGCACACGTTTACGTCGACCTCGTTGGACCTTCGCCTCCCTGCAAAAGCTACGTGCACCTCATCCCCTGTGTCGACGGATTTATACATTGGCCAGAAGAGATTCGGATAGCCGACTGCACAGTTGAGGCACTTGCAGGCGCTTTTCTAGAACGCTGGGTAGCTCAAGTAGGTTGCCAAAACTTAGTCAACTCTAACAGAGGATCGCAATTAACGGATCCTACAACAAACTTTCCAAAGTACTTGATTGCCGACACAATCGAACTATCGCATACCACCCCGCAGCTAATGGTATGGGAGAAAGGTTCCATCGACATCGCTAAGCATCACACTGCCCCTGCTCTAGCACATCCAGGCACGAAATACTGCCACTCGTTCTCTTAGGCATAAGGAAGGCGATTGAACCTGTTCTGCATGCCATTACATCTTCGATAGTCTTTGAACGCACACGACACTTGCCTGGTGGACTTGTCACACCAAAAGCGCCAACAAATTTGACTATGGCGAATACCCAACTCACCTATCTCATCACATGCGACAAGTTCAGCCTGTACAACCAAGAGCACAGAGCTTCCGTACAAACGTGAACGAACGCTCAACCACCTGCACGCGCATGCTCGTCTTCATTGACAGCGTATGCCGACAACCCCTACCTCGTTCTGCTAACCGGTGCCGTGTCATACACAGTACCAACAAGAAAGTTATCATTGACTATAATGGTCAAACGGGGACAAGTAAAATCGACTGATTCAAGCCAGCATTTCTCGACAACTCTGACTCTTTGGTGCAACAAGCATCTTAGCAGCCAGCGCTAACACGGCCAGCACCACAGTTTCATACCAGTGGCTTCGCTCCAGCAGAACGTGCAACCACAACCGACCTCATTCATATTTTTCCTAGTATCAACCAAACTGGTAGGGAGGTCAGTCTCCCAATTATTTTCGGAATTTGTTTTTATTTTACATAGAACATGCCTACAAACGTTTTCCAAAACCCGCAAAAAGGCTAAGACGTTTTGAAACTACCAAGAAATAGCAAAATCTTTTAAAACCTAAACATTTCCGCACCTTTTTGCATTACATCTTTTTGTGTATTGTTGTATTTACGCCGCGCTTTTCCACTTTGCCTACCATATACACACCGTCTGTTGATTATCTCTTTGTTGAAGACTGTTGGATTTCCGCACCTCAACTGGAAGCATAACAAACTTACTGTTCAGCCAGCTACGTGAACTTTACGAACTGTCACACCACATACATTTTTCGTTTCGACACCGTAGGGAGAACAAGGGTTGGAGCCCGTTAGGGTCCGATTGTACGGTTTGCCTCCAGCAGCTGCAACAGTTTGCACTACCTGGTCACGCAGGTTGGCAAGCGACGAAGGACTGCTTAGACAGTTCCTTATGGAGGAAGGTTAAGGTAGAAGTCTGGAGATTCCCCCGGTTTGCGTGTGTAAAAGTGGAACCAAGATTAGTGTTTCATTGTACACTTGAGCGACCGTTGCTAATTCTTGAGCTGCTTGTTGAGTTCGATGGTTCGAGTCGTACATTGTTTTGATTAGCGCTTGATTTGATTGTAACGCGCGATCGAGCACGTGTGCTGTGCACTTTGCACTACCTTAGCTATAAGAGTTCAACGGTATCGTCTCTTTGTAGCTAGACGAACAGGGAAACTTTTGTTGTACATATAAAAGTCTCCCTGCAATCCGATCTGTCTTTTGGAATCGCTATCTGAGCACCCACTAAAACAGCAGTTGAGTGCAACGTCACTACCAACTTGAGTTTAGCTTGTAATCAATATGCACAACACGGGCTTCAAAAATCAACAACATGAAAGTGTACACGCGTCCACCAAATTTATCTGTAGGAAATATAGGATCTTAATCACAGCTACAGACTGGTGATGCCAGAATTCTGAAGGCGAAAGCACTTAAGCACTAACTTTCTTCACAGGTTAGGAAATTAAGAGAATGTGTCACTTAGTGGTGCGTAATTCCGTCTGTAGTAGGTTGACTGCAATAACCATTCGTTTTTGTATACCAGTGGTTACTGGATTATAGCAGAGAATAGGCTATCTAAAGAAACTTCAGAATTGAAATTTCCCTCTAGTTTCCCTAAATGAATCCGCTCCAACTGTATTCTTCGAGTGATAAGTGCCAAATAACATGACAAGCAGTCTGCTTTCAAGAACCAAAGGAACAACTCGATCAGATGTTCAACAGTTATTGTTTCACAGTAAAATACCGAAATCAAACCGGGCCATCCATTAAATTAGGACCATTTAGGAGGACTAAGCTACATATTTCACATGCAAAACCGTCGAAAAACCCTAGTGCTATTGAGGATACTGTATAGTTGAGTGAGACCAGATAGTAAACAGATTATGTTAAGAGTATGAGAATACAGAAGAAAACATGACACGGATTACGCATGTAACCATCTTAGATAGGGCCTCAAGGGCTGGACATATTGGATGCTGGAGACTCTACTCAAAAAGATATAGACTAGAAGCCCGTGAAACCTTTACATTTTGCCTCCTGTTCTCCACTGCCGATTTTGCAGAAGCTTTTTTGATCACATTCGTAACTTCCTACTTGCTTTTTAAATCTACCATCCCTGTAAGTCAAACCAGCTAAGGTTTATTGCGGTTTAAATAGTAACACAAGCAAACTTTGCTCATTGTGTTTCAGTGTTTGGATTATGGCGTAAAAGTGTCTAAGTATAACCAATAAACAAGCTCCATACTGGACTGACATTTATATTTCTAATAATGTCATACGTCTCAAACGTAACCACATCAAACATGCCATTATAGTCAGATAGCATCATACTCGCCGTATGGCATGCCACATACAGCAAGAAAAAATGCATATAAGACGATCGGTTGGTAGTTAAGTTGGAGCGGCATTCATAAATATGCTGCCCTTTATGCAGTACATTTTTGATGGCAAACGAGAATTTTTTGCCGAAGTATCCTAACCCCAGACGTCTTATATTCAAATATTATGGTACCCGGAAGAAAAAAAACCACAGCTCCGATGTGTGAAAATTCCAGGCTGAAAACCGTAAAAATAGGTAGCACAATACAGGTGAACACGGGCTACTGCTGAGTGATAAATGTATGCCAATACTACATTTGTATATAGAAACGTATATTTACATAAACTGTTGTGTGTCCCCATATCTTGCCTCACTTTCGCTCACTATGTCCTTATGTTCCTATTCATGTTTAGCACATAAACTGCGATTTTCCGAATGGTATATTTCACCGCATGATCGTATTCCAGTTAACGGATACTTCGACAATATTGTACCCATTTAAAACATCTGTGAGTACATCCATGTGGACAGACACCGTGCCTTTGCTCTCTCGGCTCGGCTGCCGTGCTGTGCTGAACTACTGCACTTCCACCTGGGGGCGAATCACTTCTTGCATTTTCTATATCATCGGATCTATTGTTAAGCCTCCTAAGGGCAATGTGCACTGCAAGACACAACTTACCAGATAACAGATACCTACAGACGTGCAAGTAAAAATTCCAACCAATATTTCGATGTCAACACATTTGCAAGCTGGAGGTGTGAGTAGAGGTTTGTAGCTAATGCCCCAGCGAATACTAAAGGTGAATGACTTCTCTGGCTGAACAGAGGAAAATAAACGCAATGTGAATAGCAGAATTTTTATCAGAATACCGGCAACTCCAAAACCCGTAATGAGAGTAACCGACAACAGTGTCAAAAGCAAATGCTAATGATTAAAATAACACAGTTGAGATTGCAAAGAAAATAAGTGCACTCGGTGGAAGCAACATTACTGAAAGATGGATGTGTACTTTGAAGTTAAAGAAACGTATTAGAAAAAGCTTCCAACAAGGGAAGAATTCAGCTTAAAATATCGACCATGTTGCTAAATTTAATGAGCTCAATTCAAGCAGAAAAGAAAGCAATCGAAAAAATAGTGCAGTGACAGAAACGAGGTGCATTCGTTGTGAGACAGAAAAGGTACTACGGACTAAAGATGACATCAAAAAGTAAATAGATTGTGTTAAAAACGGGATGAGACCTACATAATAACTGAAAGAAGAAAGAACTTATTATTTGTTCATTGCCAGCAAAACGAAGTTTGCTACGAAACAAAACGTAACATTATAAGCAGATAAGATAAGTGTCCACGCTAAGCAACACAGAAAACATTGTTAACATGCAAAGCTAATGGATAAAAACCAAAAATATGTATAAATTGCACTAGATAATTATATATTTTTCGTAAACGACCAAAATATAAATAAATGATTGTATATTAAGTATTTATAAGTATTCAGCAAAAGTTCGTTAAAAGGAATGGGGAAGACTTACATGATTTCTTAAGATCAGCGGTTAATTTGCGATTGCGACTCTTGATAATTGACGACTCCAAAGACATAACGAAAGCAGCAAATGGTTTTAATATCCGCGCGCTTAATCAAACGCAACAGTGTTCCAAAAAACAGTAACTGTGAAGTGGAAAAAGTCAACAGTAAATTAGATACTTTGAATATTTATAAAGGCGTAACTAACCACTAATAACAAATTTTCTACCGATAGAAGAAGCTAAGATTATTAGATAATTTGCACGCGGAACCGCAATTGGCTGAATTGTTCGTTTGTTGGAACGCACTGTTTTGTAGTGCCAATGATCGAACTCTTTTTGACCATCTCTTTTTTTCCTTTCAGATCGGCGGCCTGACAACCAAGCAAGACATTTGGACTGTTTATCAGATGGCAATGACTTTAAAGAACAATAGTAATTATTATTGTTGTACTTCCTATTACTGTTTGTGTACAGTTAACCCCTTTTGGTTTGAATTACCAGAATTTTGGATTCTTGTCAATTACACGCTGCCGTGTGCACGTTGTGTTTTGCCCTGACTTATCTCGTGCGCTGTGATCACTGTGACGGGTGCTGCCATCGTTATCAGTTCTTCCCTGCGTTTTTCAGCCATTGACGATCTTTCGTGCCCCCTAGATTATTGTGCATTACAGTTTTGATGGTACTTGAAGGATATGATGTTGTACTCCTTATTACATAACTATTTATTTAGTGTAATTAGGATTTCTATAGTACTGTACTGACGAGCCATGTTGTTTTAACCACTTTTTGCCTATGCATCCCACTATCTTGGAGCACATAGAATTACCATGAACATGGTGCTGTGGGTTCTCTTCGAGTTAACTGTGTACTCCGCCACGCCCTGATGAATTACATCCACTGTTCCTGAAGACAGTGGCTGAGTATGTCACTGAACCATCTGACAATTATTTTGGCACTCCCTGGAGGCTGGACGCCCTCCGCTTGATTGGAAAGTAGGTTTTGTGAAGCCAACCCACAAAGGAAAAAGCTGTGAGGTTCCTAAGAAGTACAGGCCGATCTGCCTGATATCGATAAGTTGTAAGGCAATAAAAAGTATTTTTACAAAAGCCGTTCAGCTTCATCTCTGGATATCATTACTTCTGTTCAGCAAGTTTTCTGGAGAGCACTTTCTTTTATCACTAACCTACTTGCTGCCCGCAAGAAGTAGGTAACTCCAGTGGAATTTAGTAATCGTCTTGCTGTTGTTTTTGTCGGTTTCAGCAAAGCATTTTATAGTGTTCCACATGAACCGATCCTTATCAAGCCCCGGACGATTGGCATGGCTGCCAACGTTCGCACCTGGATCGCTGGTTTCCTGTTTTGGTCGTGCGATGAAGGTATAGATCCATGAGGTTCTAACTGCGCATGTCCTCAAGACAAGTGGGGCTTCACAGGGCGCCGCCTTTGGTCCCGAACTTTTCAAAATCTTCCTGAACAACTATCCAGCGGTGCTTCAAACTAACTGTCTGATCCACGCTGTTGACCTCACACCATGGCCGGAAGTGTCAAGACTAGGAGACCCGGCCAAATTACAACTAAAGTTTGATGTACTGCACGACTGGTCTGTGAAGTGGCAGTTACTTATCAACTATGACAAATGCTGAGTTCTTGCAATTGGTTCTCCAGAACCTTTCTGCACCTACCACTTTCGTGCTTTCCTGCTCAGCAATACGGTTTCGCATAAGGACTTGGTTGTGACCGTATCCCTGACCTAAAAATTCTCCCGGATGGATTGCGGAAAGTAGCAACGTACTCTGCCCCATACAGAGGACATTTGCAAAAAGTCGCCTGAGATTTTCAAGCTCCTGTTTCCCTCTCACCTCCACCAATACTGGAAGAGGAACTACCCGCTTCGAGTCCACTCAAAAAGTTTGCCTGCGTTTTACTGGAGTGCGTTCAACAGCGTAGATACAACTCTGTATCAGTGCCGCGTGATTTACCTTAACCCCCTTGACTTTAGCGAATGAACTTATTCTCTTTGGCTTATCGGCAGCGTCGTAGGGATGTGTTATACAAAAGACGCATACTTAAGGTTGACTTGGGGACGAAGCTGCAAGCGTTCTTTCAACTCAAGTTAGATAACGCGACACGGGGTCAAAGTTGGTAACCTTTTAAATGGCACAGGTTCGGCCTTCGCCCAAGTCTCACCTTATCTACGTCGGTCGTGAATCAACGGAAAAACCTCCTGGAATAGGTTGTCAGTAGCCATTCAGATGAATGTTTCAAGCAGCGGTTGGTTAACTACATGCTGAGGACGCTTGAATTCCACTGGTTTTGTTGCAGCTGTGCTGATCCCTTAGTGAACACAGGTTAGTAAGTAAAGGCATCATACAGCCAGTGAATGGGAGGTGAAGGAGCTGACACAAGTCTTTTCCCTTCTGCGCTCTACAATACTATGAACCTATGAAATACTCGCAGCTCCTCGGAACATTTTATTTTGCGGTGACCTTGGCTGCGGATTGGTCAGCCTGTGTTATTGCCTCTCATGCATTTGGCCACTTTCTGGTACAGGCTTGTAAGCAGGCATTCGATAGTTTATTCGTCGATATTACTTCTTACTAGGTGGTTGGATTTCACCTCCGGAAACTTATGTTCTCTGTTTCCCTTTTAAGATCATCAGGCTGTTTGCCGTTTAAGAAAAAACTTGAAAAACTGCCCTGGAAGCATATAAATGTCCGCCGACCCTGCCAGGATACATAGTGTTGTGTCACGTCAAATATAGCCGCCCTGCACTGCGAGATACTTCTGTTTTTACATCCGGTGATGAATTCGAGCTTCGGGAAGCTGGTATTCAAGGCTACCGGATGAATGTAGCATAAAGACCACCGGAAATAAATCGTGCATCTCTGGGTGACGAAGCCGCTTGCCAACTGCAGGTTTTCCGGCTGCTGCGGGATGCCCCAATAGCATATATTTAGTCTCGCCACGAACAGTTAACAGGTTAAAACTCCAGCTGTCGTACATCTTCCACCTTTCTATGCTCGCTTACAGTGACCCTCAGCAAATTTACAGAAATATGTTTTCAATGTTTTGGAACTAGGCGCAAAAGCTCTTCCATATACGCCACAAGCAGAATTAAAATAACAAATTCCTCACCCTATGCTTGTCGGTTTGAAGAAACACGAGCTGCTCTACAAGTTCAGCCTCCAGTCCCTGCGAGCACTGGCGGAAACTGTCGAGGTTGCAATCAAATACGAAGCTATAAAGCAAGTGCATTTGCAAGCAAGCTGTGTACTGTTGCCTCGAAGCGCCGAAATCACACAATCCTTTTAGGATTCTACCCTCAAGAATCGTCGCCGTCGCTCGACCATCCTCGTCGGCCGCATGAACGGTAGCTACTGCCGAATGTTCGGTACCAGCTTCTTTCGGCTTTTTCCTCCTCCTTCCTTTCATCCACCGACTAAAAGCCCTGCAGGGCCAGAGGTCCGAGAAGGAAGCTTATCCTGCCGAGCGCAAACGGCGAGTAAGCGTTGGTCGTTTCTCTTGTTCTTAAGACCTGCCTTACCCATATTACTTCCCATATTATTCTACAGTAACAAGTTAGTACATATTCTACAACGTTTCTATGAATAAGGGGCACTTGAATTCACTAGACGCTTAAACTGACGATTTACACTTATGTTTGCTTTCACTTCAACCATCCTACGGGACTTGTAAAGCAATCGCTTTTTACCTGTAATATATCATTGTTCATTGTTCATTACGTCCCAAATGTGCTCGCTTTCCCCGCCAACCGTTTCTGGTGCGGACCTGCTAGCCGTGCTACTGATCTCTAGGTTGCTACGAAGCAGAAGTATTAAGATGCTCACTATTATCGGGCCATGTGTTCGCTAGTCCGGAAGCGTATATTCCTGGCAGGCTCTAGTCATATCTTAGACAATTCTGTGAGTCTAGTGACAGCCAATATGGCTGGCATCAAACCTTCGGGTTGGACCCCAGCGACGATTAAACTGGGATAGTTGACTGCGGCCCATGAGGATTTTGCAGGAGATGGTCTCTCCTGAGTTGTAGTGCTGAGGTAGATTTCCTTTCCCGTTTCAATGCCAAGGTTGATATGGCCAACCTAACCCTGGGAGCCGACAATAATATGCTACCGCTATGTGGCGTCCTGTAGGTAGCGGAGACCAAAGTGCCGTAGTATATTCGACGCGATGCTGCTGTATTACTGACGCGTAGCAGCAGTAACTTACGTGAAGTTTAAGCAAATAGAAGCGCACTTTCTCCTGTTCAGATGGCGCTATGAGGAGGTGTAACTTCACTAGCCCCGCCTAGACACGGGCGACGCGCCACCAAATTGTCGACCTGCCAGACGCGTACCTCACCAGTCCTAAGGGCAAGTACAACGTATTTTTGTAAAACTGTTACAACGCGATGTAATTCGACTGACAACATCGACTTGGGCAACGCCCGCCGATCTAGTGACAATGAAATGCAGAACCGCGACAATGTATGCGTTATTTTAAGTCAACCTCCATTACCCGAAGGAAATACTTTCCGTTCCCAGGAATGGATAACCCAATAGACGCTCTCAGTGGCTCAATGTGATTTTCTACCTTGGGGTTGGCTTCGGGCTACCGGCAGGTCGAGCTACACCCTGACGAGAGGTGTAAGACTGCGATTATTGTCCGTCCGGTCTGTGAGAATTCCAGACCATGCCATTGGGTTTAACAAACGGGCCCTTAACTGTACAAAGCTGATGCACAAAGCTCTAGCATATCTGGTCCCGAAACACTGTTTATTTTATCTGGAGGATATCATAGTGCACAGCAGAATGCCAGAAAAACATGGGCAGCAACTTAGCGCCGTGGTGGATCGAATGTTGCAAGTAATGTCGCAGCTTAAACTCTCAAAATGCCAATTCATATGGGAGGAATTGGCTTACCTAGGTTACCTCGGGTCGGCAGGTGGAGCACACTGCGAGCTGGAAAAGGTCGTGCTTGTCTGCCAATGGCGGGGCTTGAAAAATGCTGAAGAAGTGCGTAGCTTTTGCTGACTTGCCGCCTACTCTGGGTGTTTCCTTAACAGCTTGTTAACATCGCTAGTCCGTTGAACGAATTTCTGAAGGCTGATCAAGCTTTCGGTTGGAGTATTACGCAGCAAGTAGTAAT